TTTTAAAGCTGTGTCATAGGCGTCGCCCATTAGCGAGATAACTTTTAATATCTTTGTGCTACCAAGAAAACAACGCTATCAAAGGCGCCGTCGTAAAAATTCTCTTCACGGCGTACCCTTCCCGCTTGACACTCACGACAGTGCAATCTCACCCACTATTAACATAAATAACGAGAACGACGTAATTCAGCGCGAATTCCAGATAGATGTCGCGCGAAACTTCGTCGATTACCGCGAAACACTTTATCGCGCCGCGGACGCGCCTCACGCGGAAGCTCGCAGTCACGAATGCACAATAATTATGACGTATGCTTAATCCGGCTTCATGAGCTTTCAATTAATCATCACGCCTGCCTTTCGGCTTCCAAACGATGAGAAACGCGTGCTCCTCTCTCTCACTCATGAATCACGGCATTAATATCAATTAAAATTTTACAAAAACAAACGGATCTCCCCGCGTCCGATCGCGTTTAATGACGGAGAAACAATCGGCCGGTGATTAACGCTTTTAATCGCGCGTTTCGCCGTGAGTTAAAACGGGCGTGTGCGAGGTGACAACGCGTAAAACACTGCGTGTCGAAGTGCTTATTCGTACTCGAACGAACAACTGGAACGATCGAACCGAGACATTAGACGGTTGCTGGCGGCCATTAATCATACAGCGGCGAGGAGGCGGGTGATTAATGTTTCCCTCTGTGAGCGCTAACTTCGGCCCTCTTTCATCCCCATTTTCGCACTCTGCCTGCGTTTCTTCCAGTCACCGTTCTTCGGGCTCCTCCGTCGTCTACCATCGAGATCATACACACAGCGCCGAACCACCATCGTCGAATGATTAATTTACAATCGCCGTCGTCCCGCTCGTCACTTCTGTGACGAGTCGTCGCTTCGATTTTCGTCTTCCGCGGAAGATCCGCGCGACATGTGTGTATTTTCTCCGATAATTTCGGTAACAGCTTTCATTTCGAAAATATTACGCGCGAGTCGCCCGTGCGTGTTGATATTTTAGAGAAAACACGAATTTTACCGAGCGCGCAATTTCGACGATGATCCATTTACGAAATCCATTACTCCGCATTTATAATTCACGATTCGGGACAATTTTTCATTATGTATAACGACACCAATTTATACGAAATCCCGTCTGATTTCACGATACCAGGAAGGAACGAGGCCGGCGTTATCGCATTTATTATACGATCCGCCCGACGATGTGTGTGTTAATATATTAGCAAGATTAAAAATTCTTTCTCCGCGATCACAATACGCATAATTTCGTTAAAACGCGCCCACATTTCGCCACGGTGCACATTTTCACAGATACATTTTCCACGTCCATATTTAATTTCTCCTGCTCGCGGTTGGGCCGCAGGCGTTTACGTGCGAGAAGCAGCCCGGCGCAGCGAGTAATATCCAGAAACGGAACCTTCCGCACACGCGGTAATATCTTCAAACGACCTCTTATTACGAAACCGACGTATAAAAAAGAAGGAGAAAGAAGCGGGCACAATTAAATCCGCGCTGCGGATCACCCCTTTCCGCTCAGTGCCGATGACGCCCGTTGCTCGCTATTTCGGAGAGCGACGCGGGCCTTAATAAGACGAGATTTAGGGCGTCCCAGGTGGCAGACCGGGCCCCGGTAGTGGCAGTTTATGCCGTCGTGTAGCTCGACGGAGTTCCCGCGCCATTTAACCGGGACGTAAATGTTAAAAGCCCGCCGTCTCTCCCTTTACGCTCCGCGGATCCGCGAACGTTACGACCGGTTTTACATTCGAGCTTCGGCGCGTCCCGAGGAAGACGGCGACGAGACGCGCGATGCTCCGAAGGGGAGAGGGGCGTGAAAAAAAAAAATACCGCGCGGAAATTACCGCGAAGGAACGAACGGTGGCCTCTCGAGTCGCTATCGTTTTACGGGTTTCCATCCGCCGACCGTGTAATCGGATTTATAGGACGACTCTTAGAGTCGTTTCTCTATCGGACGCTCTTTTACTGCCTTTCTTTCCCATTTTTTTCCCTCCTTCTTGTTTTATATTTTTTCAACTGGATATCGTGTTATTTTGTATCTCCCGCGGAAAACGAGATATTCTCTTCCGCGCTTGATACTCGATACGCGAGCGCAAACCGGAGTTCTCTCGCGTGATACATTCTCCTCGCTGGGTTCACGGGTCATTAGGAATTTTCCGGCGTTTAATAGCATCGGCTGGATTACGAAGTTTTCAGGGGTAGAGCGCACACCTGAACACCTGCACCCCTTTCTCGAGACCCCTCGGGGGACGCGGCCTCTCTCTCCTTCCCCTCGCGCGAGAAGTTTTCAAGCCCCGCGAAGTGGACTTTTCGCGGCATTTAGCCGCCTCGGCTCGGGAGACCGTAAAGTTAAATATCGGAGGAGGATTTCCGGCGGTAAGGGGAGACACGGGAGGGAAAAACACCGCCGCCGTCGCCTCGTAAATTGGCTTCGCCGCCGTCGGTTAATCGCGCGAAGAGGTCGCGCAAACCGGGAGCAAATAAAGCAGCGAGTTAAAATTCAATTCGGCCGGAAGAGACAATCGAGGCCCCGGACATAGCGAAAGATGGTAAACCGCTCTTCTCGATTGTCGCGCCGATAATTCGGGGGGGAGAATCGCGTCTCCCCACGAGAAACGTGGGACGGAGCTGGGTAGGACGAGAGAAACCCTTCATTCGAACAATCTCACCGGATAAACGTAAATCGACGCTACCGAATTTTCCTCGCGACACAAATTATTCGATACGCCCGCGGAACGACTCGGGAAAATCCGTCCGACCAATGAGCGGGCCCCGAGTGGCTGGCTTCGACGGCCGGGTTGATTATCCGAGCTGATTACAACCGGACACAAATCCAGTCCGGCGCTGCCAAAACCGTCGCGTAAGCCTACTTACGCAGCCGAACACAGCCGGCCAATCGTCGGCTGGTAATCCGGGAATGTTTTCTGCCCGATCCATTATCGGCTTAGCGCGCTGCTTTCCCTCTCTTTGTCCGTCACTCTATCTCTCTCGCTACGACCTGATTCCCCCGCGAGAAAAGGAAAAACCGCCACCCAGTATACCGCGCGCGCCCCGGGTAAATCGATAGTGTTAAAGATAGTTTCCTCGCGCGCGCCGCTCGCATTTGCATTTCCTTCGGGAGAATCGGGAGAAAGGGGAAAGTATCGGAATAGACTCCGGGGAAATCCTTCTTCGAGTATCTCCGCGTGAATAATTATTGTAATTTGTAGATTGCACTTTTTCGAAATCGCTTCTCTAACGCGGGAATCGGTTATTTCCCGCCGATCGTCCATTTTCGATAACGTCGAACTAGAAACAGACCGCTGATCTCTGGAAATTGCGTTCTCACGCATATTTCCGTAATGTAAATTCGCTTTGGATAACATATAATTCACGAAAGAATTTCATTTGTTCAAGAAACATATACGAATTTATCGGGTAAAAAGTTGGTGTGCAATCGATCGTGAGAATAAAAAAATTCCGCTTTCAGCTCGATCACGCGCTGTACGTTTTATCGACGCCGCGTAGGAGAGATCGATGTCTCGTCTAGAACAACATCAGCAGCAACAACAAAATATACACCTGTCGAGCTGCTCCGCTTGTGTAAGGATGACGGCTCTCCTTTACACGCGCCGGACGTATTATTCGCTTCCGCTATTGGAGCACACTTAAAAATGCATGCTAGCTCAGCTCGAACCGGAAGCACTCCACTTGTCCTGTTATCCGATGTCCTCGAGGATAAGGCTCGGTGTTACCTTAATGACGAGCTGCAATATTCGCCTCTTTGCTTTTCCACAGAAAGGAAAACAGCGCGCCGTCTCGCGCATTAACGCGCCCCCGCGGCGTCGAAGTTACGATAGTAGGAAGCTTTATTCTCGCGAATGTGCATTCACGTTCGCGCGCGAACGTCCGCGAAATTGTGAATTGCGATAACGGGAGTTATCGATTTCCTTTCTTCGTGGTTTTAACAGATGCCGTTTACGGCCGATCGTGAAAATTACGCGAGAGCGGAAACGTCAGTTATTCCGATTAACGATTTAAAATGTAGTTGATTCGCAATAAATGGGGTTTTCGCAGATCCGCAGGAAATCGAGTAGCTCGACGTGTCATTGTAAAATCGCCGCAAAATTTGATTCCGGTGTCTGCAATATATTTCCATAACAAAGCGTCGTCGATTTCGCGACGAACGCAATTAGCGTCTTACAAATGTCGCGTAAAATCCATCGCAATGCGCGAAGCGACGATTCCGCCCCGGTCGCGGCTGGTGAGGAGATTATTCTATAACTTTAACAATCAATTATTTAAAATTCAGTTATCTCTCCTAGCGGGGGCGACCGGCGGCGTATATTCAATTTTAAAACTGCAAACAGTCGCCGGCGCTGCTCGCGACAAGCACTCAATATGTAAAACGCGATGTAACTTTGCCGCGGCTGCAACTCGGCGAATTAATCAAGCGGAATTCACGCCCGACTTGTAAACGTTGACCAAATATCCCCGCGCGCGAGTTAACGACCACGGAATTGTCCGCGAAATTCCACTAACTCGGTCTGCGCGCGCGAGCGCGATATTTTTCGGCGACGACGCTCGGGTTAAATCACGTTAACCCTTTACGTTTTAACCTCCTTCGCCAATCATGAATTTTATTTTCTTCTTCACTGTGGAGGAAAACTCTCGACCGCATCGATCCGTCGATACGTCCCGAATTGTTGCTCGAGTTCGCTAACTTTGACAGTAACATTAACTTCTTTCCAACGAATTCGACAACGAAAGTCACGCGCGAGTCGAGCGAATATTCTCGAAATATCCGCAGCTGTGTAAAAACAACTCGTGAAAAATTTCGATCGTTGTTCAACATGCATACACGTATTCAAACGCGCGTACATAATTCATCGGCGCGTTACGCGCGACGCTGTATTCGGTGTGTGCGACTGCTTTCAATATGAAGCGGAGAAATAATAAACGAGAGCCGGCCGTTATGCGGCGGACGAAATTTGACGTACCTGGTAGAGTATATCGAGCGAGATCGGGTAGATCATGTGCTCCACGATGACTCGAAGAACCGTGTTGGGCCCGCCTTGAGTCTCGCCGGCGCCGGACACCTGGTTCTGCCCGGAGATCGCGACTTGATTGTTCGGATTCTGTAACAGAGAAACATTCCACATTTTATAACGCGATGCCTGCGAACATGAGAGTGAACATCTCGCGGTCATCCGCGCGAAAACAGAATTTGCCGTTAGTTGCGCCATACGGCGTCGACTTGAAGCACACATCGTGGTGTAAACCTTACGATGCGATGCGTGATCCTCCTCGGACGCGCGATACACGGAAAATTTCTCTCTCGGTGCGTTCGTCGAGCGTGTAAAAGCGAAATGGAAAATGATTTCTTTCGAAGCGGTGAAGCGCAGAAGTGAGGAGGAAAGAGCGAGAGAGGAAGGACGACCGTCAGGAGAGAAACGAGGAGAAATACGAGAGGCCAAACGAAAATAGATGCAAGAGTATTAAAATTGGACGCATACTGAGCGTAAAAACGAGGAGACATTATACTTTGTAAGTGAGAGCCGTATAATAGACGATGGTGCTGCTGGATTATTAAAAGTAGCCATGTCTTTCCAAGTCTCAGTGGGTAATAAAACACGTTTGGCCATAATATTGATTCGGAGGATTGTGTGAGAAAAAGAAGAAAAGAAAAAAAAAAAAGATAATTACAGAGAAACAGAAACCGTAAACGATCTGTCATTTAAAATCAATTCGTATAATCTTACATAATAAATTCGCACGATAATTATTGCAGCACGCGGAACCTGTATGAAAATATTGTTTAGCAACGTCTTTCCATTAAGAATTGTGTTTCCATTAATAATTCTAATCGATCGATTTAAATCGACATGAATAGAGCATACGATAAATTTTTCGAAAAATTAAAAATCGGCATCTTCCCGATGGCTCGACCGATGCTGGAAAACGGAAACGTGCTCGAAACACGACGGACCGTTCTTGCCCATCTTTCGAAATGTGCGAAATGCGTTTCGCGGACCGTGCCGTTTTCATCAGCTGCCGCCGCTGCCGACGAAGCTGTCAAAGTGAACTTTAAGGGGTACGGCGCGGCCGGATATTAGCATAAAATGCTAAAGAAACGCGCCACATTAGAATTTCGATGTAGATTAAAGCGCGTCGCCCGCCCAGCGAGGCTCCTAAATCTGACTTCGTAAAAATAACTCCTCTCGAGTCGAGTATCCTAACGAAATTTCGAGCGACGACGACAACGACAGCGGCGGGAAATCGTCTCACTTGCTAGTTCGCGTAGAGTTGCTGAATGGCTAAATTTTCGGACGCAAGTGGCGAAGTACTTGCTTTAAACGCGAAACTTCGTACAAGTACGTGTTAAAGATGAATCTCGAGCCACGTCGGACGGAGTTTCGCGTTTACCTATGATACGAAATTCGTAGCAAATATCGCGGTTTTACCGTTCGTGAATCTTTTCCCTCTCGCGTGAAACTACAAGCGTGCACAGAATGCGAAAACAGCTCAGCAACGTCCAGAAGGTCCCTTTCATAAGACACCACTCTCGTAAGATCGCTGCGCTTTCTTATGAAGAGGCGGAAGAATTAATTTCGACGTTCCCGGCGGCGGGGGTCGCCGTGGACGGCAGAAACGAAGGAGAAAGTTCGCAGGCTGCTAATTAATTAGCCCTGACAAACGCTGACCGGCCGGGAGCTGCTGCTCCCACTAAATCTCCGAAGACCGCGCGAGGATGGCGTGCGGACGACCATTTTATCCGAGAATTAATTCTTAAAAGTTGCGCGCCGGATATTCCTGGGCTCTCGCGCCTTCCATCTTCGTCCCGAGACTTTTTTCTCCAGTGCCGATTTCACCCCCAATTAGCGGCCCATAAATCCCCATGCGTGCGGAACATAAATTCGCGCCCTCCTCGCTCGCTCCCCTTCTTCCATCTTCTCTTTTCTTCTCTCTCTCTCTCCCTCTGCTTCTCTCTTCTTTTCAAAGGAATTCCCGGGATCGCCTGCGCCGATGCGATTCTTTTTATCGAAACCATGCGTCTTCCGAGAGACACGCGATATCGGGAGATTCCTGGAATCCCATCAAGCCTCCCGCAAAAGAAATTTTCCGCCGACTTGAACGCGCTCCAGCGAAATCTAATTTTATTTGCCGCTTATCGGAACAGAAATGAAATGTCGCGTCGAAGACGCGGACCTTGGCACGAGCTGAGAAAAGAGAGAAGTCCAGCCCGGTAATATTATATTTGTCGTTGACGCGAGAAAGCGCCGTTGAATTTCGCGCGACGCCGGCTAATTATGTCGCGGCATAATATCCCAGCCTCATTCGCGACGAACGCTTCGGATTTGAGATAAATCCGGCGACTTTGCGCGCGGGAAGATTCTATTCCGTATTATTCCGCGTTATATCCGTCACGCTCATCGACAACACCCTCGAGAATGCAGCATAAATTAATAACGAAGTTACGGTTTGTCGTTATCTTATTTTAGTCGCGAATCGTGCGCACGAGCGAGTCAGCTCGTGAATTCGCGTCAAAACGAGCAGCCATGCAGGTGTGAATATCAACTGCCACGTATAACGCGGCGCATACATATCTATGTATATATATAAACTTGTTCTTAATTAAAATTATAATATTACGCTTGTGTATGGGATTACGCCGACTGCGCTGTGTGCCGAAGTCATACATCGTCGTCTTCGTGGAAAATAATTTACGGTTGCGACGATAATTCGCTGAAAATGGCGACAAATCGCCAAGCAAATATTTTTGTCGGTTACTTTTTCGCGTCGTAAATAAAACATACGCGAAATAAAGAATACTCGCGCGTCTATCTCTGTGCAATTCACTTTGCTTAATTACACGCGACAGCCCTGGACGCAAACTGCGAGAGAGATTAAATAAATAAAATAATACTTTGTTACATAGCGCGCGAATTTTCGTGCGAACGCGACGCGTAACGAACCCACCGCGTTATTCGTTTCACGTCGAAAAAAAGAGGAAGGGAAAGTAGAAAAAGCATCGCGTTCGCTTTGTCCGGCGAAATTGCGCCGCGACGCGCGAAAGACATTTCCGTTCTAAATATCTGTAGATTACGATGGTGAAACCGGCGGGATCTGATCTCTCTCTCTCTCTCTCCTTCCCCGTCGTTTAGAGCGACTTAATTATACTAAATGTCGATAATAAAGTTGCCATCTGCGAACGGCTTGGGAAAAGCTCAATTAAAACCGTCTTTTAAGCCGCCAAATAAAGATCTCTCCAGACGAGACGGAGGGAATCTTTCGCGTGCTACCTTCCCTCACGAAAACTACCATTTTCCTTCGAAACTCCCACCGTGAAATAATAATCCTAATTATTGTTATTGCGAATCGCACAATAGAAGAGTGAAGAAGTAACAGGCGGCGGCGGTAGCCGCCGTTGCTTAGCAATGTTGATAATATAGAATAGAATTTATTTTATTATGCTCTAGGATAAATCTTGTGAGAGTAACAATTAAAATTATAACATGATAATGATGCAGAGACAGTCGTCATAATGAAAAAAATACACGGAAAAAAAAAGTTTTGCTGGCATGGCAAATTTCTCAGTTATTACGCAAACAGCAAAAAAATTTGTTACACGGACAAAATAATTTTACTGTTGTAGTAAAACGTTTAGCTGGCATAACCATATTATTTTGCCACCCATATATCCAGCAAATAACAATTAATATTCTTAACAAATCTTTTTGCTATTCGTACAGTAACGGGGAAATTTGCTGTGCCAGCAAAGTACTTTTCCCGTGTAGAAACGTATGAGAAGATTAAAAAGAAGAAAGAAGAAAAAGACACATGATTATACACTGAAAGTTGATGATGCACATTAATATATCGCAAAATAATAATGCTAATAATGAGCTAAGCGATGCGTCTCGGAAAAGAAATGGGTCGCGCGTTTCCTCTCATTCTCGAGTTACAGATGATTGAGAGTTACGGCCGAATGAGAAACGAATAAATGGCGAGGGATTCCGTCAGAAGACCTCGTTTGATTATCGTTGACGTATGATTTTTTCCCTCGACGCGCTCGTTTGCTCCCGTCCTCTCCCCCTCTTTCCCCTTTCGATCCCGAGATCGTTGATCTCGCCGACAGGTGGATGCGCTTCGAGAGGAAAGCATCCGCTTCCGCGTGCTCACCCGTATCGCTCGCCTCCCCTTCCGCCTCCCCTCGACGAACCGCTAAAAACGGGGCAAATGAATGATAAAGCGGCGGGGTATCGCCCGCGGAACGCCACGATCCGCAACGCGCGGCCGAGCATTCCGGGGCTGCGAGAGATTGCCGTGGCGGAACGCCGCGGCCGTCCGGATCGTTACCGTGACTATGCACTTGCGGCCCGAAGCCGCTTTCAAGGGGTGAAATAACTACTCCTAGGGGTAGTTTCTATCCCCCTTTGATAGCTCGGCCTCGAACTAACGGTGAGTGCCGGGACTGAGAACATTACCATAACCTTCCATTACTCGTTGCCGCTGATCCCCCGACCCACGTTCTCTCTCTCTCTCTCTCTCTATTTTGCACTTAGTCCATCTCTCTCTCTCTCTCTTTCTCTACCTACCTATCTTATATCTCTCGTTGCTCTTTAACCTTCTCACCTTCTCCACCCCGTTTTCTCTCGGTGCCTCCCTTTTTACCTGGCCAATCGCGCTTAGCTATCTCATGACGCATCCGATGAGATACCAGGGCCGTCTGTTTCTCAAGGTCGCCAACCGCGGAAGATCGTGCAACACGTTCGTCACGGCGATGGAAGGTACACGGTGGTCGCGGTCGAGATCGCGCCGTAAAGCTTCCCTTAAAAGCCCGGCGCGCGCGAAAAGCCGCGCGGACGTTAAAGTTTTATACACGACCTCTTCTCTCAACGAAGAGCTGAGCCTCGCGAGATCACTCTTCTCTTATGCGCCTCGGCCTGTTTGTAAATTTACAATGCGTTCCCCGCGCGAAATAATAAGCCGTCGATACGTTCGCGCGAACACACCGCGATCTTTAATCTCCCAATTCTCCCACCGGCAGGATCTCTCAGCGATCTTTCAAGAGCCTTCGGCCACGGCGATTTAAGAGTTACGCCCGCGATAAACTTTGGATTCTCTCCTCGAGACA